TATAAGTACAGTCCACCCTGGAGTGCATTTTTCAGATAAGTCCCTGATAGTAAACCACACCATATCGCACCACCGCTGAGAATCAAAGGCAATTTAGAGAGGACACTTTGAGGAGAGGGAATTCTCCACTTTCATTTGGCTCCATCAAGACGAGAGCTCTCTGCAAGTCACCGCTCCTCCAGCAACCCTCTCATTATTACACCCACTGCAGCCCATTCACAAAAGCCTGCTGCAGAAAGAGGCTTTAATCTTTATTTCCTCTAAGATTTTAAGAAGTTATTATTTTTGTGATCCCTTTTTTAATTTTTTTTTTAATTTTTGTTTTCCGCCACCGATTCATAGATACCATAGAAACACATTTGCTATCACATCTCTTACTCAAACTTACCCCACGCACCCCATACGTACTTGCTTCACCCGTCCGTTGTTGTGCAAGAGACAAACCACATAAGGAAAAAAAAACAAAACAAAAAAACACAAATAAATTAAAAAAAGCAAAAACAAACTTGCAAGTTATAAATGTTATTGAACAAATATTAAAACATCACATGTAGAGCTGTATTCAAGTATCTGATCAATTTGAATGTTGTCAATTCCACAATATGGCATCTAACCGGTTTCATTCATTAAACTACTACTTGTTTTTGTATTGTCATCCTACTCCTTTTTGACACTTTCAAGCACTCAGTACTGATTGACATGTGCTTATTCTTTAAATCATTATTCTGTTTATATGTATGTAACATGTTCATACTAAGATTGCTCAAACAAAAAATAACTAACAAACTAACTAATTGTTTCAAAAGTAACCGTGCAATTCTTTTGTGTATTTTATGATTTAATTTCCTGTATTGTTACAGTTTGATGCCCTAATCTGGCACCGAGGCAATCGTGTAAAGTTCTCCGAGACGACTGCTGTTTTGAATTAGAGATGTAGAAAAATACATTGAATTGAATGTGACCTATAATTTTGCTTAAGTATAACATAACACACACGTTCATGAGCCAAATTCCAGTTGAATTGGGTCTTTCAAACTGTGAAGGAATATGCTACTTTCTTTGCTTGACATACACAGTAAACTTGGTTTTCTGATTGAAAATTGGAAGGGGCATTTTTGTTTAGCTAATGAGAACTTTCCTGTCTATACATCATTGCATGGAAATATTAAATGTGGATTATTCAATATTATAAATCCATCTTAAATTTGTTTTCTTTTAATTTTGACATGTATTCTTTACCACTCTTCTTTGACTGTTGCACTGAGCCAAAGCAATTTCCAAGTCTGTGACATCCTGTTATTTACGTGGCAATAAAAATGATTCTGATTCTAGTTTAAGAAAGGGGAAGGCAACGTGAGATTATTTTCTTCATGTTTGTGACAGGACTACAATTGTTTGAACTGTAATTGTAAAATGTGATGTATTGTCATGTTCACAAGTGAAATAAATAAATAGATAAATACATATAAAATGAAAAATAAAATAAAATAATTAAGTGAATAATACAAGTGATAGCTATTGATCCCTGTTAAGTCAGAACACTTACAATACTGAATACACTTACATACTCGCATCGTAAAGTTCTTGCTGATTGCCGCCACATTTGGGATATGCACACTGTACAGGTGGCCAAGGCTATTCATCCAAGACAAATAGAGTTTACAAATTGAGCAGAGCGAAAGAAGAGCCGTTTTGAATGCATTTGTGTTTGATGAGATTGAAAATAGACACTCAGAGCTTCCATCGTGCAGAGAGCTGAACTGCATAAAGGCCCTGCTACAATGAGACTATAATAACCCTCCACTTAACTGTACCTCTCCCGATAGAATAATATGACACGGCTGTTTAAAGTGCTTCTCTCTAATTATGCCGTGCACTTTGTCTTATATTTTATAATCCTTTACTTCTCTTTTTGCCTTGGGCTCCAACGTTTCCAGATCTCCATGAGTTTGATGCCTTGAGATGAGTGTGATCATAAAATAAAACCCACACAATATCAATACCTCAAATGTCTTCTATAAACTGGACATGTTCTGCTTTATTCTTTTCAATTTTGATAGGTCTGTCAGCGTGGCTTCTTTTCATTGATGAAAAAATGACAAAGCCGGCTCACTTACTCCAAAAAAGCTGGGTATTGGTTTATAGTTTTCCATGTGTCAATCTTCTATATAATCTGCTGCTGATTGGTTACCAACAGTGAGATGACAAATACAAATGGCAATGAGATTTATGTGTATTATTTTTAAGTCATCAATACCCAGAGTCTTATTGGTTGTCATAAGCTTGTAGTTTTCTTATGGTATGTTCCCTTGCCATATCTTTCATCTTTTTGGTTGGTGATTGTTGTAGAAAAAGTCACATTGATGATAGATTGTCTTTCTTACCGGTGGTCACAGATGTTGTCACAGCTCTTTAATCAATTTTTACATTGTGTAGTTTGTACACAACAGACTCACACGTGAACAAAATAAACTTTTTTCACACTGACAATTGTGAGAACGAGGCAGACTCTATAACACAGTCTCAGGATGTTCTGACCCGATCCGAGCGCAGTCCAAACTACTATGTCACAAGTTTCAACTAAACTTATTCAGGGACAAAGCCTCAAATAAAACACACAGAATCCCTAAAAAACAATCTTCAGAATACTTTATCAGCAGTGTGAGTGAATGTTCTGTTTGTTACCGTGATAGTATGCTGCGCTGTGGCTAATGCTAATGCTAACATGAGCTTTTGGCCGTGTCCTGGCGCGGCTGTGTATATCTCCTTCTTCTTTGATCATCATAGTTTCAAGCTCCCACAGACGTTATTCCTCCATGCATCTCTTCTCTTCACACCGCGTTTGTAAAACTATATATTATAATAGATCCATGGTAAAACTCAGTAAAGCCTCTGTGCAGCGTGCCACGTCTGAATGCGGTCTTGTTTACAAGTCGCTCCACGCGACTGTCAAGAACCCGAGACGTTTGGAGAGATCCAGTCATTTATCAAACTAAAGTAATCTTTCCTTTGCAGTCTGGTGAAAGACAGTGCTCCTCAACTCAAGGGCTTCCGTAGTACCTTGGAGTGCAATTAAGATGTCAACGCTAGATGGCACTAAAAATTACACCGTGTACCTTTAAAAGGAGGTTGACATTTGCAGTTTATTCTCTAGAAGCACGTCAGATTGGTCTTGTCACTTGGCTTGGTGTGACCTGCTTGTGCCAAAGGATATAGATACTTATAATGCCATTATGTGGAACATTTCAGGCCATGCTTGTGTAGCCCATATAAAAATGTATTTTGTGTATTTAATAATTCCAAATGTATGAATTCATGCAAGTATAATATGTAATGTAATAAGTTAATTCACTGTTCATTTATTTCAATATTTCGTACTTATTTGCACTAGTAGTCATATTATTAAATGTACGTATTTATGGATGGGGGCTAGACTACAAATGTAGGTCAACCACGCCCACAGGTGCGTTCATGATGTTGTCACCCTGCGTGCCTCAAATATGCCTCTGAACCGTGGACAATAAACGTTGCAAACGGACTATTTGGTATTGTTGTTTGGTCATTTAAGAGTGCAACACTTGTTCTGAAATGTCATCCTGCCCTATATGTATATAACTGCACTATACATATATAGATAGATATATATTGATATTGAAGCATTTACAGCAAGCTGAGAAACATAGCAGCTACGTATATTGTATATTTTGTGTACTCCCTGTGTGCTCTTACTATTGTCCTGTATGTGCGCTGCAACATTAAATATCCCCACTGTGGGACGAATAAAGGTTCTCTTACCTTATCTAACTTAGCCTACGTCTAAAGAAAAATCTATGTACACAAACACTATTAGAAGACACCCCACAAGCAAAATCATCTGTAGCTTTAGGTGGCAATTGAAACATTGATTTTTGACGAGGCGTGAGTTTGTATGTAGTAGTAGTAGTTGTAGTTTATTTGAGCAGTTTTACAATGTATATATTTTTTCATAATTCAATAAACAAATCTCAAAAGGAGACGGCAGAAGTAAAAAGCGTAAAGCCTTGCCCATTTTGTCACTATTACATTGAGAATCGTCTCACACGTTTGTGCCGTATAACAACTGGAGGTAGGACGTACGCACAGCAGGAGCTTCTAATGCCACACCACTTTCCTCACACAGACACACAATACATGATCCTTGGACGCACCTAATGACTTCAGTTGCCATGGAAACAGCTCTAATTAGGAGCTTCTTCATTCGAGTACAATCCCATTGTGGCCCATTGTGTCACGCATATTCGCAGCTGGGTTTCTTGGGTGAAATATGAATGAAGTTTAGAAATGATGAATTGTGTACTAGAAAATCAAAGGTGCCCATAGTTAGGAACATAATGTGGCTTTGCATTTTGTTCATTGTATGTAAAATATGTAAAATAGTGCGATAGTAAAAATGGGTACATTGTAATCCTGTCAGTGCAAATCTGTGGAAGTGGATTTCACTGCACAAAATAGATTCAAATGTATGTTTTTTTTCATGCTGTTTTTTTTTTGCTTTAGTGACAAGAAACGTCTAAGCCAACAGAGAACTCAGCATTAAGGTATTACAGAAATATGGGTGTGGAAAAGTGGTAGGTGAAAACCGGAATTCTCTGAGAACCAAAAGCTCAAGTGCAGGAAAGACAGGGTTACATAATAAATCAGCATATGCAGGTTTATTGCCTAAAACTCTGAAAATTCTGAAAGTTTTTGAAAGTTTGTTTTGCCACAATCCTGTCCCACTATTGTTCCAGGTTAACACCGCATTTCAACAAGGGCCAAAACACACAGGTCTCCAGTGAAATGTCTGCTCTTATTTCACATATTTCTATTTTTTATATCATGTTGAAGAGACGAGATGGCACATTTCTTTTCTATCAACAACTAACAGTATATTTTGTCTTGTCTCGTCTCGTATAAAGATCATATTTTCTACATTGTCCCATAATGGAGTAGTGAATATATTTTTGTTTTTGTTTTTATAGATTACACTATTCCTTCCTGCGTCTGGAAAAAGTGAGAGGACATCGCGCTGAAAACGTGAATCCGATCTTCTATTTGGATAATTCATTTTTCCAAGCCTCTGAGGAAACCCCATACTCCCTAATACTATCGGTGGAAGTCTTTGCAGTTATTTTCTCAGTGACCCTTTAGACATTTTTCCAACATGAGTGGTCTGGTGGGGAAACTAGACCCACGCAGGATACAATGGCGCTCGACTTGGAACACGTTCACTTCCAGGATTCTTCGGACCAAGCCAGTGGAGTCCATGTTGGATTCAGCCATGACTGGCACGGGCCCCCATGGGACCAAGCTGGCGCGGGTGCTGTCCACGGTGGACCTGGTGTCCCTGGGTGTGGGCAGCTGTGTGGGAACCGGCATGTACGTGGTATCAGGACTGGTGGCCAAGGAGATGGCCGGGCCGGGGGTCATAGTGTCCTTCATCATTGCGGCTGTGGCCTCCATACTGTCAGGTAAGACTGGCTTTATTTACCTCAACAGCAATGGGACTTTTTGGGACAATATCAATGATGAGTTGAATGTTTATTTATTTAGAGTTCAATGTAATCAAACATTATTATCAAATGTCACTACAAACAATGTATTACTTATAATAATATTTTACATGATTCAAACCCAAAAAGGAGTAGGAGGAAGAAAAAACTGATTATATAATAAGGCAATGTTCTTTGGTATTTGTATTCTCGTTTATTCCTCCTTCCTTTCTTCACCTTCTTTCTGGCAACCTTCACATTCTTTTAATGTCATGTAGTTTCTGATTTCTCTACAATGGAATGTATATTGTTTGTTTATGATTTTTTTGTTTAAATGGAGCCACCTGATCTAGGGTAGTAAAGAGTACTGTTAAACTCATTGATTATTATTAGTAAAATCTTCAGTGCAGGTAGAACCAATTATCAAAATGTCAATACAATTTGCAGCCACTTCAGGGGTTTTCATAGTTTTCACAGAGGTCACTCTGCAGTGGACAGAGGCAGCCAAGTCAACAACGGTGGATACGTCATGGGTAATGACTAGATCGAGGGTGTGTCCTCTATTGTGAATCGGCTTTTTTGACGTGTTGGGTAAATGTAACTAATGCATTATATGAATTATCTAAATAATCGTCAAGGTGTATGTTAAAGTCATCTTTTAAAAGAGATGTGAAGAATTGATAAAAATGCATTCATTATAAGGCTTCTTTGTTGGTCTACAGTATGTCAGTACCAACACAACAGGAAGACCACCCATGAACACTGATACCTCTAAAAAAAGCAGTTATTTATTTTTGTAATTATTAGAGTCATAGACAAAAACAGTCAAGCTCTCCAACTGTTTAGATAAATGTTTTCAATGTCAACAATGTGTGTGTGTGTTTTAGGAGTGTGTTATGCAGAGTTCGGGGTACGCGTGCCTAAGACCACCGGCTCTGCCTACACTTACAGCTACGTGACGGTGGGCGAGTGTGTGGCCTTCTTCATCGGCTGGAACCTGATCTTGGAGTATCTGATCGGCACGGCGGCCGGGGCCTCAGCTCTCAGCAGCATGGCCGACTCGCTGGCCAATCACAGCATCAGTAACTTTATGATCACACATGTTGGGACGCTGCATGGACTGGGTGAGTGAGGAGTGTGTAGGAAGAGTAGGCTTGTCATAGTGGCAAAGTACGAAGCTCAAAATATGACTTAATATATAATTTTATAACTTAGAATATTACATAAAAGAGCAGGTGCTGGGTGAGGGTCCTCTTTTTTCACTTTTTTTTACTGAATAAGCTGATGTAAAGATATAACAGTGACAATGGCCATACTTTTGAAAACTAGTGATAGAACGGAACGTTTTTGAGAGCAAGGAACCGGTTAAATGGATTATATTCCATGTTTTTGTAGTTTGAAAGTTAAATACCCCAACTTTAGCTATCAATTACATTTTAGGGAATTTTCTTTTTGGGGCGGTTTAGAGTTTGTTTGGTTCTAATTTCTATAAAATCCCCAACATTTATGTATCTACGTATACACGATGTGTTGAGAATTAGCATGGTCTTGCTATAACACTAAAGGCAGTGCATCTGGTCGATCCAATAGAGCTGTTGTGTCCATATCAAATGAATGAATGATAAAATAAAAATGAATTATGAGAAAGTTGGACCAGTGCTGACGCTCTTCAAAATTCTGCATGTAAAACAATCCATGGATATCGACAACACATCAAAATGCACACGGTGAACATATCATTTCGTCCAGTCCAATAAGCTTATAGTTTGATTGATTGACAGCCCATGTTGTTACCAATAGTTGCCGTCTGCCACAGCAGTATCTGTCTGGCCGCTCCCTTCCAGCTCCTTCCTGTTGGCCAGTATTCACAGTGACCACATGACCACCCCCACCGCAGCTGCTCACGACAAGGGAAACAAGATCTCACTTTCTCTGGCTAAGAGGCATTGTTTTAAAATGTACCCAGTTTGTCCCAACAACAGAACAGTCTTCATCTTATCAGAAAACATGTTATCTTTTGCATACTTTTAAGAACTAGCCCTGTGAGTCACTTTTTGACACTTTGTGGTAAGAGCTGATTGGTTGAGTCAGGGAGATCCTCTTTTTCACATCTCCAGAAAAAACGAGCAAACAACGAATGATAAAACTAAACTGTTGTAGATCCAGGAACTAGTGAAAAAATTCATACACTGCAAAAAATGATAAGATATGATGTAATAATTGGTTGAATCGAGTGGTTTTTATCTTAATTTGTCTCTTAAAACAAGATTTGCCAATGTAACAAAGCCTTAGTTCAAGAACCGTTGCTTTATTTTCTTAGTCCAAGGGAGATATTTCTTGTATCTTTTTTAAAACAAGACCATTTTGCTCGTCCCATTGGAAAATCTTGTTTTAATTAAAGCAGTCAAAATGTGCTTAGATTAAATTTTGTCTAGTTTTTTTGCAATGTAGTTCCTTTTTTATCATTTTTAAGTCAGGTACCCCAGCTTTAAATGCCTTATATTTGTCACCACTTTGCAGGTAAAGGTGAGCAGTCCTACCCTGACGTCGTCGCGCTCTTCATCGCTCTGCTTGTGACCGTTATCGTGGCGTTGGGCGTGAAAAACTCGGTGGGCATGAACAACGCTCTGAACGTGATCAACCTGGTGGTGTGGGTCTTCATGATGATCGCGGGCCTCTTCTTCGTCAACGGAGAGAACTGGGAGGGCGGCCGCTTCCTGCCTTTCGGGTGGTCTGGGGTGCGTTTGAGCGGAGCCAGGAGAATGGGAGTTGACAGTTGTGTGGGTAATTGGATCGAGCGATTGTTGATGTGATTTTGTGGCTGCAGGTGATGCAAGGGGCAGCCACCTGTTTCTACGCCTTTATTGGCTTTGACATCATCGCCACGACGGGAGAAGAGGCGAAGAGTCCCAACACGTCGATCCCGTACGCCATCACGGCCTCGCTCATCACCTGCCTCACCGCCTATGTGTCTGTGAGTTATGTTAATGAATCTGGTAAACAGGACAGCTCAGTCTGGTCATTCCTCAACCCAAAATAAAATAAAACGGCCCTTTTAACCTAGGAACATGTCTCCCCTTTAACCCTTTAGGCGCCAGAGTTTTTCTTAAAGAGGCTCAATTTTGACATTTTCATTTCTTAACAGCTTAGGTTTAGGGTTAAGAGATAAAGGCTTTATGTAAATTAGAGACAGGAAATAATAATTGTATATTATTACTTCATAAGGTGGTGGCCATCGTGGATTTTCATGAATTTTTTCTCATGAATTAGTTTTGTAATTTGTAATAGGTGAAGTGATGTTACCAACACATTGCCGGTATTTCTTCAATTTGTAAGAAACTAAAAAAAATTCAACTCCCCCCTCTGGTGGTAGTACAGGGAGTTGCAGGTGGAACACTCTTTTACCTACTTGTTTCACTGTATGTTTTAGATTTTATTCTCACATTCATAAATTACATGCAATTACAAAGTAAATAATCTCAGAATTGTAATGCCCACAAATATTGCATAATATGTGTTTGATTATTATTATTTTTTTTGAACATTGTATATGAATTAAATATTACTTTTTAAATACCTTTGCTTTTCCTTAAAGCTATTTTTTGTCCGTAGCCCCATGGGACAAGTATACATATCAAATTGAGAAGGCTGTACAGTACCAGACTTGTGCAGTGTGGGTGCCTTACGCTCACATAACCTACTTTGACACTTTTTATCTAGAAGGTTGTTGCTATGGATGCGGTTCAAAATTGGCCAATCAGAAGGAGCCAATTTCGGCACCTCCCAATGAGACTAAAGATTGCAACAACTTTCCTTTGAAACTCTTCCCACTTTATTCCCACAATTTCTAACGCTGTATCAAACTCTGAGCTACAGAAATGACCCACTTCTGTCGTTTAGTTTAACTTTCTGGGAAGACAAAGAGGATTGTGTGTTTTGGAACATTTTTGTAACAGAAAATCAATCATTGCAAATCCGAAAAAAATGTTATCTGTAGAAATAAAACATTAGTTGAAATAAACTTTTTATTGACCTACGTACATAAATGGGACATGTGTTTGTAAGGGAAACGCTCGATGACTGCAACCAAAACATACTATACCTCATTTTCAAGCAATTTTCCTCAACAATAAAAGGTCCAGTTTTGGTTCAAATCAAACTTATAGAAAACACCAAATAAGAATATACAAACCCAGGTCCAACACAAAATGTAATTTCCTCTGAATACATGCAATATTGTACAACAAAAAACATAGCCACATTATGCAAAAGATTAGCTACGAACATACTTTCAAAAACACAAATAAAACACTGCATATATTTTCTCCATTCCACACTCTCTCTTCCTTAAATATCAGCATTTATCAAATACTTAATCTCAAATAGATAATTTTTTGTTTAGGTGTTAACTGAACAGGACAGGCCCCAGAAAATAACTTGCAAAATACATGCATGTACACACCTTCTTTTGTTTTTGTTTTTTTGTTAAGGTACTTTCGATTGCCATGGGGGAAGTTGTTATCTGCATTTTACCCATCCTCCAATACCACTAGGGCCTCTGCTTGGTTCGACCGGGGAGCTGGAGGATTTCTTCTATTGATTTTAAACCTACGCAGACAGGGGAGAACATGCAAACACCTATAAGAAAGTCCTTGTTCAGGCTACAATTGGACCTTTTTGCTGAGAAGGGAGAGTGAGAAGCTTGCAGTCCTTCAAGTTAATCATATTACTGGCTATTGTATCATTAAATATACTTTGAATTGTACCTTTATGATGTAGATATCAGACATGGTAGGATACTCTATATTACTCGTCTTACTGTATACCATCGACTGGTCAAAGCTCACATGCTGCTTTGCTTCTGTGCGTTGGTCTTTTCCCATTGCTCTCTGTGGCTATAATCTCTTCGGGGCAAATCCTGCCTCACTATCACGGGTCAGACTGTGACAGATGGCTCTGCATGAATTTACACGTCATCTTCACAAAACACACACAAATACACACACAGGCAGTGAGAGGAGAATGTGACGAACAAACACTGAATTATGTGAATTTACAAAATCAAGTGTTTCAGTTTTCTGTTCAGTTTCTTTGTACAATATATGGACCTCAACTACTATGATTACTTTCCACTTAATATTAATGTCACATAAATGCAAAATACAGTTTAACAGGACTGTATAGTTTGAAAGTGCTGGGATTTCGCTAGTAAAGTACAATCTGTGTTTGTATTGTCGGTGCACACAGAGTACCTTTTTTGCAAATGTATTCCAATGTGGTTTTTATACTGCACATGGCTAATAAAATGAATCTGAATCTGAATATGAATCTGTATTATGTATTTGAATTTTGCTATAACAATACATTCACCTTAGATACGGGCAACCCAAATGAGAGCCACTTTCTGATTTCTGATGGATTCATCTGTTTGAAAACCTCCTTCCATAAACATAACATTTTGGAAATTATAAAATAATGCCACTCAAAATTTTGTCCAGAAAAGGCCAAATGTGACTTGTGAATGTTGACCTATTGTCTGAGGAAATGTGACCCTTACTGCAATCAGCGTAAAACCTCAACTTTCAGAGCATAATGTCATGGTGTGGATTTTATTTTGGACTTTAGCTTTATTTTGATATCTGTTCTTTGTGTGCTTTGGTTTTAAGTTTGACTTTGACGTCCTGTTTCCCCTGTCTTGATTGTCTACCCCGCCCTAATGTGTTTCACCTGTGTCTCTGTCTATAATTACCCTGTGCTCCTCTCTGCTTGTTGCTGGTCCATTGTATTGTCTACTTCTGTTCTGTCCTGTTCCTGTTCCTGGTTCTGTGTTTTGGATTTTGAGTTATGTTTTCACCTGGACTTTTATTTTATTAAATCATTCTTTTGCATTCCTGCATTTGAGTCCTCCATCATCTCACCACGTGACACATAATTTCCACCATTTAAAGCTGACTTCTGTTACGTTGGAAATGGGAAAAAACAAGATACAAACATATATACATTTTATATAGATGATGTTGAATCTTATAGAGCCTCCTCCTCCTAAACCTTATACTTATCCTGCTAGGTGTCTGTGATCCTGACCCTCATGGTGCCCTACGGTGAGATCGACGCAGACGCCCCTCTCATGGAGATGTTTGCACTGCATGGCTGTATGTTTGCCAAGTACGTGGTGGCGGCGGGCTCCATCGCAGGGCTGACCGTGTCCCTGCTGGGCTCACTGTTCCCCATGCCCCGGGTCATCTACGCCATGGCAGGAGACGGGCTGCTCTTCAAGTAAGCCTTTTGTGTTTATCCATCTATCTGTATCTATCTATCATCCATCCATCCATCCATCCAAGGCAAGGCAAGTTTATTTGTAGATCACAAGTCATACACAATGCAACTCATCCATCAATCCATTCATCCTTCTTTTCATCTCTTCATTTTGACTCACATGACGTAAGCAAATGATAATGTTATAAAACAGCAGAGAATTGTGTGAAAGCAACTTCTACAAAAACCTTTGCAAATTGTTCAAAGGAACGAGAAACTACTACAATGACGTGCACAAATAGCAAAATAAAATAATAAAAAGGTTGAGAAGTTTGATATAATAGTTGTGAGAAAGAACTGTATTTAAAAGAAAGCCAAATGACATAAATTTACATATCAACATGTGATTATGTATGTCTCAAACCTACTTTTGTAGCAAATTAAAAGCAAGATTATAAGATACAAAAATACATTTGACATGTCAATCCTTCAGTCACATTGAGGTATACAATATACATAAAGGCTGACAGATGGATAGAAGTGACCACTCCTGTGCTTGTGGATTTGCAGGTTCCTGGCTAACGTCTCTTCGTACACGGAGACTCCGGCTCTGGCCTGTGTGGTGTCGGGCTTCCTGGCCGCTCTGCTCTCTCTGCTGGTCAGCCTCAGAGACCTCATAGAGATGATGTCCATAGGAACGCTGCTGGCCTACACTCTCGTGAGTCCTGCATAGTCGACTGTATTCTACTCCATTTCAGACAAACACATCAGAGTTATCTGTTACAGTGCTTGTGTCTTTTTATCTTGTATCAGTTTTTTTATGATACAAAATTATAACTTCATCGGCCTTGCTGATGTTTTGGAATTGCGTGTGGTTTCCTTTGGACAACGGATTCAAATGTATTGCTTGCACTATGTTCCTAGAAATCTGTAAATTACTTTATTCTGTTCCAATTGGTTACAGTATTATGGTTATTTTTATAATGATTTATTTAAAACTCTTGAAAATATACGTTTAAGCTAGGGATGCACCGATACGATTCTGGTGTTGGGGTGATACCATTGGCTTGTACTCAGAAAAACAAAAACATACAGTATAACACAGTGGAGGCCTGGGAATTTCCCATCTAGGCCTTCAGTAGTGCTCGTGTGAACTAATCCACCTCTCAATAATTACTTACTGGTTATTTATACACCAAGTAGATCCGACCGTATCATTATCAAATGATCTCGACAGGAGGCCAGTCCCTGCTAATGCATCCATTTAGCGTTGATTAATTGAGTACTTTAATGTAGTATTTAACAACATTTCATATAAATCATTGTGTTTTGTGTCAAACATTTTCCTTTCCTTTCCATCCTTCAGGTGAGCCTCTGTGTTCTGCTGTTGCGTTACCAACCCGAAGGCGACATTCACGGCTTCGTCAACTTCCTGTCTGAAGAGCAGAACAAAAAACGCAAGGAGGGAGTTCTGGCCGAATGCGAGAAAGACGCCTGCTCACCCACCTCCGAAGCCGAGGAGTACGGAGGAGCGTCCACCAACACCTGCGGTGCCAAAAACCTGCCTTCCCTGGGCGACAACGAGATGCTGATCGGCAAACCGGATAAAAACGCCTATAACGCCAACCACCCCAACTACGGCACTGTGGACATGACCACCGGGATCGAGTCAGAGGAGACAGAGACGGGAGTGTCCAGGAGGCTGAAGAAGCTGATCGGCCCGCGATACTACACCTTGCGGATCCGGCTGGGGTTACCGGGGAAGATGGACCGTCCCACTCAAAGCACCGGGAAAACTGTCACTATCTGCGTGCTGCTGCTGTTTATCTTCATCTTCGCTTTTTGTTCTTTTATCATTTTTGGTAAGTTTCTGTCGTCGAGAGCGGAGGTTTCACGAGCTTGTTAGGCTCGTGGATCCCAAGTTGGGTAAATCAGTGTTCTGCAACCTTTTTGAGCTGTGGCACACCTTTCTCATTACAACAGTCACACGGCACACCACATGCGGAAACTGATACCAAACTCTTTTATATAGAAAATCAAACAATCATCTACATCATTTTCTTTTCACATTGTTTTGACGAAATAGGTGGAATTGGATTGTTTCAAAAGGCACACCAAACAACATCTCAAGGCACATCACAAGCTACTGCCCACTGGTTGAAAAACACTGGGATAGATGGTAGGCCAAGGATACTCACACATCCCACAAGTTATTTTCATAACTTGTGTTTTTTTATTGAGGAACTTTAAAAGTGTCTTAGATCTAGAGAGTTGACCCAAAGCTCTCTTTTCTCCACACAGAAGACAACCAAACCAAACAAAAACACAACATTACAACAACAAAAACCATGTAATTCGGTACATTTCAAAACAATGAGGAAACTAAAACATGATTCCATTATTTACAACTTTATGCCTCTTTTAATATAATTTCAAACTTTAACCACTTGTATAGTAGAGTTTTTGTTTTAAATTTTTTTCATTAAACTTCTGTACACCAAAAGACGTATTGTCAGGACTGGCCGAACCACTAGATGTAAGTGTTGCTCAAAATGCCCTTTTTCCACCCATATAATTTATTAATGACATCAATTATTTCACATTCAAAGCCATGGCATGCTAAAGTCAATTTTCTCAAGGGTAAAAAAAAAAAACAAACTATTAGTGTACTTTGCTTCTTTGTCTGCAGCCAATACTCAGCGGTACACCTCTCTTGTTGTTCTTTGGTCTCTCCTCTCACACAGGAGCCAGCAGTATCGCAGACGGCAGCTGGTGGGCCTTGCTGCTTCTGGTGCTCTTCATCTTGATATTAACCATCCTCATCATCATCATCCTTCAGCAGCCGGAGAACCCTAAACGCCTGCCCTACATGGCCCCCTGCGTCCCCTTCGTCCCTGCGTCAGCCATGCTGGTCAACATCTACCTCATGCTCAAGCTCTCGGCCATCACCTGGATCCGATTCTCCATCTGGTGTTTTGTCGGTGAGGAAATTATGCATGATGAGTTTTGCACTTTTGTTTTGATTTGCAGGTTTTTTGAGGGTGGCTTGAGGGTAATACAGTCAAGACCATAGAAGGACATTGATCATTCCTGTCTGTTTGATCCTAAAGAGGAGAGGGGTAAGAAATATCAAGGGGATAAAAGCCAGGAAGGCCAGTGAGATTTAAACAATGGTATGCCAAGGAAAAATTTTACCTACGATAAGGCTTCTGTGAAGAATATGTGAAGGATGCATTGTCTGAATTCTATCATTGAAACAAGACGTTAAACTGACTGAATGATTGACTGAATATATACTATGGTTTGTGGGGGTCTGAACAGAAGGAGTGAGGATAGGTTTTATTATTAGACTAGAGTATAGGTTTTATTATCATGAGAAAAAATGTTAGTTTCAAATGCAGTTTATTTGCTGATTTCAGTTTAAAACCACGTTTGAATATTTGAAAAAGTAGTGTGCACCAGAGACAACACTATCAAAACACAAAAAATATACTGTATATAAGTAAAAGTAAAATATGTTTATGCAAAAATACACAATATTTCATCAAACATCTGTGTACATTCCGTTATTGAATGGAAGTTCAATGTGATATATTGTACAAACGCCAATTTGCCTCCTTTGGAACATGAGGACACATCTTTCATTCTATTTTATTTCATGGTAAAAAATTATAAATGTGAATATTTGATATGTTGTATAGTGTGATTTAGTCCTTCTTAACCTTTACATACTTACTACCCTAATGATTCTTCTGGCACTACAAATTTATCTACAGATGCACACATACATGTACCAGTATATATCTCTTGCACCAGAGTATACAGAATATTTGACAGACTTTGCTTTGTTATTAAGCTAAACGATTATAGTGTAGAGTTGTGCTATACTTAATATCTTGTGTTCCTCATTCCCTACTGTTCTGTAACTTGTGACGCAACACTGAAATGTCCCCACTGTCTGAAGAGCAGACAGTGGGGACGTATAAAGGACCTCTTAATCTCTTACATGTAAAGCCCATCACTTTTAATCTGTTTACATTAGTGATGAAGCTGTTTAACTCATTGACTGCCATTGACGTATTTGTCTGAGACCGGTGATTTCTGTCAAACTTCCCTGTATTTGACTGCGGATTAGAGGAGAACAAAAGTAGCTAGAAACAAACGTATTTTTGCTTATGAAAGTAACCAGTCCAGTCTTTCAGAATCTGGTTTCATAACTCACATAGTCATAACACACATTATTCTGTGAGTCATGAAAGTCAGTGCAATCAATTAATATTCCATTTACATGCAGCAACACAAAACTAATTACTAATAACTATAAAACAACCCCGGGACATTTTGTTTTTAAAATATTATTATCCCGTTAATCATTTTAGAAAGGTTAGCACTGTTAAATCCAATTACAAGTCTAATACATGTTGTGTTTATCAATGCGAATGGGTTGTTTGGCACAATTTGAGTCGGTAACAGGCAAAAATTAGCGGGGGATGACCCTATTTTGACTTCTTGACCGTAATAGCACCCCAACAACCTCTTTTTGAGCATAAAAACAGCAAACAATGCATTCTATTTTAGTGATATGTTATTTCTCATGCAGAACTGAGTCAGATTTAGACGGAAAGCTTGAGCACACACGGTTACATAAGGCCAATAGGATCTCCGTTTATCAAATGCAGATGTGAGATGTTGTGAGTGTAAATAATGAGTCGGCTTCGTCATTCTCAGACGATGGGTGCGATGTGTTTGAACCAGCGGGTCTCTTTGTAGGTTTGTTTTTTAGAGGAAGGAAGAAGGTATTCTCATGTGCTTTCATTTCCTGTGCAAGATGTTTACCGTGTGAATGTGTGTTTTGGAGCCGGGTTTCTTCAAACGCATCGTGCCGTATAGAGCGGAGAAGGACATGGACTTGGGGTCATTTTTCTGCAGTTACGGGTTGCAGCTCTTTCTCATAATGTGACTCGCTTAAGTGGCCCTAGATGCTACACATGCTCCTGGTCCACTTCACACACTCCCGGTAGTGTCATCACAATACTAAAAATACACACTCGATTCTGATGCATAGGAAGAAATAGAAAAGGGGAAGTTCATTTGTACAGGTCATACACAAGGCAACTCAAAGTGCTTAACAAAACAAGAATATCAACATTTAAACAAAGTCTTTATTAATTCCGGTTTTAGTGATTTGATTTAATACACAATAGTTTTTTTTTTACAGATATCAGTATAACAGACAACTAAACGTACACCGATAGTATAAGACAGACAACATGTTTTGATACCACAGTGATAATCAAAATGGACATTAAGCTGCAATTTTTTACATGAATACCAATACAACGATCTCATACTTATTAATTCTACCTAAAAGCCTCAAACTCATTCTGATATTGATCAAACTATTTCAAAATCCACTCGGTAAATCTCACATTTTGTTCTATTTATGTGATTTTCTTCAGTATCGATGAGTTTTGATACTAGTTAAAGAAGGGGTCTCCAACATGTAGCTCAGGAGTTACCAGTAGCTCACCACCCCCTTGCAGGTAGCTCCCCAACACAGACATGATCCTGAATGACTACATTTCCAGTCTGTTTGAACTGCTAATGTTTTACTTATATTCAATAATGTAGGGCTTTAAAGTATTATTGTATACTGTATGTTGTGGTATGTGTTACCCAAGTTTTGTCGGTTTCTCTACCATTTCTCATGTGTAAAATTAGCCCCTGAGTTATTGCATTTTGTTTTTCAATATTTGTCATCTGCCCCTTATGGACCAATGGCGCTTTGTGTTTTCTAACATTGCATTTGTTGTGTTTGAACTGTTGGATTCTCTGATCTGTGTTGGAGAATTCAACGGTTATGTAAAGTCCTCCGAGATATCTACTGTTGTGTTTAGGGTTATACAAGAATACATTGATTTGAATTGATTTGAATTGTATTTTAACAATATGGCCATTATTTCACATAGTTTATGTCTAATAATTTGCTAAATTCATATAGTATATATTTTTTTATTCTTGATATCTGAATCTGATTCTTTATTTCTACTGCTCATAAACTATGCATTAAACATTTGTCCCCAGACTGGCACAAATGCAAATAAAGATCCTCTTCTGTTATCTTATCTTTGAGGTAAAGAAGAGCATGCTTCTTGTATGAATCATAGATCATGTGTGATTCTGAGAAACAGCTCATATTCCACGTACATTTGTCACTTGTTGAGATATTTGTCTGTCACTCCCAGGCTTGGACAAGGAGTTAGATACCCACCCTCAATGCCACTAATAAATCAATCCATTTTATTTATAGAGCCCTTTACAACACTGAAGGTGACCAGTACTTTCCAATAAAATCACATAAAAGCCATTAAAACATGCATTCAAACATTAAAACATTATTAAAAAAGTGTCACGGTGCTAATGAGTGTTAAAAGTGTTTTGAGCCTCAATTTAAAATGGCCAAAATCAGTGAGGTCTCGCATGTCAGGTGGAAGCCTGTTCCAGAGTCTGGGTCCAGCGACTGAGAAGGACCGGTCAACCCAGTGTCTGAGCGGTATAAGTATAGAATGAGTTATTTACTGGAATATCAGGTATATGATTCATACTTTTCCCTCTTAAAGCTAGCCTTTCAAATAACAAGTATATAACAGTGTTTTCTCATAAGAAATAGACAGCAGGTTATGATCTTATTGTTTACAGAATGTTAGAATGTTACAGAATAATAGAATATTATTATTATTATTATTTTTTATTTTTTATTTTTTTTTAATCTATGAACCAGTTCTATCTGTGTTCTTAATAAAGAATGAATTGAATTGAATTACCTTAACAAGCCTCTTTCTGTTGTGACAAACAGAAACAAAAGTACTCCAGCTTTGATAAATGAATGAGTTTTTGGTGCTACAGTCACAGCTACTGTATATGCAAATGCAGATCAATATTAACCCTTGTATTATGTTAAGGGTCAATTTGACCCATTTCAGTTTTTGTGTTGATCAAAGTACTGGTTATTCTTTCTTTTTCTTCCTGAAATTTGGTGACTTTTCCTCATCTAGGGTCATGAACTGGTGTGTAAAATCTGGACACCTTGATGTGTAGTGGAATGTCTGTGCAGAGTTTGTATACAAAGATGATGTTGCGGGTCATTTTGACCCTGACGCTTTAATGTGGGTAAATAGTTGTTCAGATCCAAAAAAACATCTCTTTGACATTTTATTTTGATTACCTCTGAGAGCCAGGTGTGTGAAGAGAGGGAACTTTCTCACACTTGTCCTTGTCACTGTTCTCATGTCATCTCTTTTGCCTAGTGTACATCGTACTGGCAACTGAATATATCCGTCGCCTTTGAGATGCTGCCCCGTACACATCGACAATCTGGCGAAAACGGGAAACTCCTAGTAGCAGGCCAGTCTCGGGAATAACAGCGCGTACATCGACAGCAACTGGCCTCAACTACAGTGTGTTTTCTGACATAAACTGTAGAGGGCGCACTACACGCAATACACACACGTTGTTGGAGCGCGCCACGGAGCGTGCACATCGGGTCATATCTCCGGATTTGAGGACAACTAGTTGCCGAAAAGTAGAACACGGGCAACTGACTGAATCCGGAGATCGACTGTTTATCTCCAGTTGTAAGAGCGCTCACATTGACCGATTTTGGCAACTGATCATCTCCATCTACTCTCAGTTGCCAAAAGCCGCCTTGTTAGGCAATGCTATAGGCTTGCTATAGGCTTTAGACACACTCACCAATGCTATAGGCACCAATGCTATAGGCAATGCTATAGGCTTTAGACACACTCACCAAAAATGAGCTCCAGAAGGATGACATCTGAGGAGGCTTTATCACAGATTTTTAACTGGGATAATGATGTAGAGGAAGAGATTTCAGAAACAGAGGATTTTTCAGAGACAGAGGACAATGTTATTGCTGATCCAGATTGTAAATTTTCTTACGATAAGGAGGATTCAGAGGACGAATCTTTGGCCAAGTAAAGAGGAAGGGAGGAAGGAAGGAAGGTAGGAAGGAAAGCAGGGAGAAAGGAACGAAGGAAGGAAAAGAAAAGAAGGGAATAGAGAAGGATGAACAGAGAGAAGGAAAACAGGATGAGAAAAAGGAAGGAGAAAGCATGGCAGGAGGAAAGAGGGAGGGAAGAATTGTCATTTTGACCCGAGAGGAGGACAAGAAAATTAGACTAAATATTTCTTAAATATATCGTTGGAATAAAAAATTTATTGTATGTCACTTTTCTAAATATTTATATAACCTAAAATAAAGTTGTTATTGGTTTAACCTGTTTTCTTGACTGTTTTGAGTGCATTTACACAGTACGGGTCAAAATGACCCGCAACATAATCAATGTAATTTTTTTTCAACATAATACAAGGGTTAACGTCAGTCCCTCCAGCAGAGGTCACCCCAAACCAGACACTGCATTAGCACCTGCTCTAACACTGCCTTGTCTCCTGTGCTGTTTTGTTGCCAGGAATCCTCATCTATTTTGGCTACGGCATGTGGCACAGCACCCTGGAAATCACGGCCCGTGAGAACGAAGCCCATGCCTCCACGTACCAGCGCTACGACCAGGGAGTGGACGAGGGCTTCTGCGGCTTCGATGACGACTTCTACCCCCCCGCCCCGGGAGACTCGTGGGACACCCAGCAGGGGGGGCAGCAGAGCCAGAGTAAGCCCCAAAGTGACGGGACAAAAGCTGGAGGCAGGACCATAGCCAATCATGGGCTCGCTGAAGAAGACCCCATGGATTTCTGATGGAACTGAGTCTCACCTTTGAATGTACTGCCTTGTCTGCTGCCTGTGGGATCATGGGGGGGTATGGGGGGGTTGTGAGCGTGTGTTTATGAGTGAGTGATGGTGTAAGCATGCATGCATGTGTGTTCTTCTTTGTGCGATCAATAGGCCTATGGAGGACCAACGTGACTCAAAATAATGCATTTAAACAACACATTATGACCATAGACACAATGAAATTGAAGGGGGCAAGGTCACTGCAGATGGAGCACTGCATGGATTTTCCTTTTTTGGCCACACAGCAAGAGGGTCTTGGGCTTGATTCCAGTTCTTTCTGTATGGAGAATTAATGATCTCCTCGTGTCTGTGTAGGTTTTGTCCGGATACATGATTTTACCACTAAAATCATGTACAATAAGTAAAAATACCCCAACTAACCAAAGTCTTTGTAAGCATTACAGAAAGGGTCAAATGGAGAGGAATAAGGTCCCTATTGGGGCACTACTTAACTCTGCTTGCCTTCCTGGATTTTTCGCAGAAAGACATTTTTAGCTATAGCTTCTTACCACAATTGATTATGGAAAAAAACCCCATCTGGTTTACATTGTGACAGAGTAGGCAATTATAATGCCATGCTACTGAGATATCCATGGAAAGTAGTGGGATCGTCATCACACAATGTACACAGTGCATCTTTGGGTGTGATATGATACGAGAGCATGACTAATGTCATTAGTCAGTCCACAATCTCAGCTCATTTACTGATACATATACCACACATAAGATTCATATTTTCTTCACTAATTCTATTTAATATGACATTCATTCATTTGTTATTGTTTTATACATGCTTTTACAAACCAAGATAAAGCTGGGGACCAAATTTTCAAACCACATAAACATAGAACATAATATAATCCATCTGATACAATCACTAGTTTTCACATAAATGTATTTTTGGCCTCTGTCACATCTATATCAGCTTTTCAGACAGTGAAAAAAAGAGGACCACTCAGATGGTTCTTTCCTACAAGTATGCTGAATATAAAATGTTTTCTAATAATATAAGGACAGCATGTTTGATTTGTTAAAACAAATCAAAAAGTTAGCAAGACTTTTTTTCCCTCAATGTATTCTATGAAACAAAGCAAAACAAGTAACATTCCCGAGCTTTATCCACAGTTTTAGATTCTGTATCATATGTTTTTTGCCATTAATATTTATACACAATCTAATCTGAACACATTACTTTACAACAGTTTCATATCACAGTTGGTCCTCCATAGATCAGGGCTAGATGGCTTCCCAGCAACACTTTTCAGTCTCTTTCATTCTCCTCTATTTGCTACATTCGGTTCCCGCTCATGTGAAAAAGTCAAGGCCACCCTTTTTTGTCACAGTTTGTTATCCGCTTACTGGCATCTCCCACACAAAGCAGTGGCCTGAAATAAAAGCATGAGTCTAAACATATAATATTTACAGATTTTGAAGAGTTACAAAATCAGAAAAAGGGGTTTGGGTGGGGCCATTTGTGAATCAGCATTGAGTTTCCTGGAAAAGTTGTTCTTTGGCTGTGTCACTTTTTTTTTTTTTTAATCTAATCTTTTCACTATTTGGATGTCCATCTAGCCCTTTTACAGATCAAGAATGAGAAAAGGGTGTTATGTTACAAATAGTACACAGACTTTGCTTGCAATAGTGCCTTCGTCCACTCTGTGTTGAGTTGTAAGAATGTACACTTTCCGTCATAATGTATTTGTTATATTGTCCGGTTTTTCTTGCATGCAACTCACCGCACATACCAAATCTTGCAGCCATTTTTATATATATATATATATACAAACATTTTCTTACGTTGATTATGCCCTAAGTCACCAGCAACGGCACTATCATTTAGATATGTACTTATAACTGTAGTCTATCTTCTGACACAGAGAGAGAAATATTGTGACCACTGATAGATAGTGCAGCACATCTATCATGCCACTTATATTAGGCGCAAAATCCAAAATCTAAAAGCTAGCCAAGCACGCGTTCGGCTAGACAAATGACTACTACTGACTTGGATAAAAAAGTATATGGCTTGTTGCAGTCAGTTATAAAGCTGGTCACAATGTTTTGGCAGGTTGGTGTATTTCTTATAGCGTTGGTTTTAAATGCATGCATGTAGCTACTGTGTATTTGTCTGCACTATCGCTATGAGGTATTGTGAAAGTCAATCAGTCCACCATGTAAACTGCCAAGGTTTTTGTGAGTCCCATATGCGAAGAATGTACAGTGTTGTGAGAGATCGGCGATAGTTGAGCAGAAAGATAAAACGAGGAGGCTACATTTCGCATTGGCTGGGTTTGTTTGTGCGTTTGTGTGTGTGTGTGTGTCTCGTACCCCTGTTGCAGAGTGCAGTCTTTGCCAGGGAAGCCTTATTTGTGAAATGCACTAATCTAACAACGCCACGCTAAAGTCCCGGCCCTACCTCTGCTTTGGACGCGCCAACAAATAGGACCGTTTTGTTGCCCGTTGAAATTATGGTGAAACTGCCTGACATCATTAAAAACTACAAGATGATTCAGTTAATGTTGTATACAATGTTGATTGTAATGGGTTGAGTTGATGTTCTAGAATTGTACTTTGTTTGGAGGGCAGCTGCTATTACAACTCTATGGGAAATAAGCCATTCTTGAAAGAAATGAAAAAAGTCAAAATGTTTTTCCATTAGATTCGCAAACCTGCCATGTTATTCTTTTGTCTGAAAGCCCTTTCGACTGCCCAACATCATACATATGTTTTCTGAATACTGTCATAACTTCTAGACACCTTTGTGTGGTTATTGTTAGCCTATAGTTGATATTTACTCACAAAAAAGGCATGGAACTTATCTTGGTAGTTTTTGCTTAATGTGGCCCAGCCCAGTCTGATTGTTGACAATTTAGTTACCAGGAAAGATTTATACAACTGCCCTCCAGCACAATTTCCAAACTAAAGGCTCTTTGGAATATTGTGATATCACATGAACACAACCTATTGCAATTGATGACATTGTTGTAATGTTAAAATCATAATGACATTTGTTCATTATTAGAATCATCTATTTCAAATGTCTCTAAGTTTGTGTAGTAAAATCTCTAAGAAACCTTCACCACACATTTTTACTACCTGCTTCCATGTAATGTGCTTCTGCTGCTTCATGTCCATCGCTCAGCCTGATGGGGCCGTCACGAGCCCTCGCCCTGGGCCCTGACCGCCATGTACACTCGGTTTTGTTGTGTTGTTTTTTATGTGGAGGAGTGAATGCATGAGTGTCTGTGGTGTAGCCTCTCTGTGTGAAGCATGCTCTGTGCACGAGGCCTAAACTGGACCTGGAATGGACCTGGACTAGACTGGACCTGGACTTGACTGTTGCAGTGTTCGCATGAGGTGACTGAACACTGCAAAGAACACGTGACTGATGAAGGTGGAGCTGGAGTCTTTAAAGCTGGGGGCATCTGATTCTCAGGTTTCAGTCAGAAGGGTTTGAAAAAATTGGACGAAAAAAAGAAACATTTGAAATAGTAGTTGATTGGATCCTATATTACCACACATTAATCCTACGTATAGGGTTTGACTTCATTATAATAATTAAATTGTCTGTTCTTAACTAAACAAAACGCTTAAAATCATATGCAATGTTTGCTCTCGTCCTCTGAAGCAAATACCGCAGCAAAAAGAAATGCCGTACCTTTAAGACGTCCCACAGAGGTAACATTTAAGCCTAACAAAACAGAAAATAATTCAATTAATCAAGACTATTATTTCAAACATGCTATATAATAAAGATATGTTTTACTGTAATTTGTCTTGAATAATTAAGAGTTGTATTGTATTGAAAGCTCTACTCTTATATTGCTGACTAAAGCTAAAAGCCTTACGGGATGTGAAAGAATGAGCTCTGAATCCTGCATTTTTGTTTTGTTTTTTCATTTCAGATTCAGATTCTGATTCTTTGTTTTTGCCGCTTGCAGTAAAATCACATTGGAATACATTTGCAAAAGTCACCAGTGTGCACAAAACAAGTACATGAAAAAAAAAAAAAGGTATTTTCACCCTTTAATGGTTTCCTCAATTATTTGGTAAATCAGCTTTTGAGTCAATACATCGACTTTAAGCTTGGAACGGAAATCTCCCTCCTTGGGGCCCCTCACTTGGTTTTAGGCACTTTAACCACCAAACTACATCATTTTTTTGTTATTAGTACATGTTAGAAAATCCCCCCCAAAAAAAAAAAAACTGCTTTCTTCAAGAGTTAAGACAGTGAAACCAGAGGGCCTTTCCCCCCAGCTCCAAGCCCCCAGCTCCATCAGGGTGTATGTAGCAGCACACTGGACTCCCCCTCACACTTCCACAAAAGCCACGACTCTGAAAGCCAAAGCCGCCATCTTTGTTCCCTGTTCACAGCCAGGACAGCCCAGTAGAACCAAGCAACTACTAATCGCCCTTCTTTTAATAAGGTTTTTTCAATAGTATTTGAGTAAAGTATTGCTGCAGACAATATACTAATCGGCACGACAAAGATTAGAGGTAAACATAAAAAAACTGTATTTTTCTACACGCTGTCTGGAGGATACTTTTATTGATTCGGGATTACATTCTGTCCATGTGTTGCTTCTCGTGTTTAGGTTTAATCACATGACTTCTAACACTCGGTCATAATGTTTTGGCCGATCGATGCGTGGGTTGGTGTGTACTCGAGTCCTCACACAATCTCTTGAAAAAATATATTTTTAACAAACTAACCCATTTATATCCTTAATCTTTTCCTCTGGGGGATAATACAATTAGAACGATGTTACGGAAATATGAATTTGTGCACACACTTTTCTAGCTGAATTGCCACTATTGCTTTTAAAGTCAGCTACTATTTGCGTGCCATGTTCTCTGTTACTAAATGTTTAATCGGTGGGTATATTTTGGCACAAACGCGTGTAAAATGGTCGTTTTGGATGGTTGTTCTTTTTGAAAGTTTAATATATGTTGAATTTTGCAAT